CACAACGTCCAAGAGGACAACTTACACAACAAAGGCCTAAGGCGCCAGGAGCAGCAAGAAGACCAGAACAACTCACTCAAGGACGAGTATATGCTATTGGACAAGTGGTGGAGCAGAATGAACCTACTGTGATGGAAGGTACATTTCTAGTTTTCAACTCATAGGCTAGAATATTGTTTGACCCTGGTGCTACAAATTCATTCATATCTGTGTCTTTTGCATCTATTCTTGGAATAGAATATGAATTTATGAAATCCTCGTTGATGATTGGATCTCCATTGGGTAAATGTGTTGAAGTTAATAAGTTGTGTAGATCTGCATAATAGAGATATCAGATCATAAACTTGTTGTTGACTTGATGATATTGGAATTCATGGTATATGATATAATATTGGGGATGGACTTTCTTACCCAATTTAAAGCTATTCTTGATTGTGGTAGAAAGATGGTGACTATGACTCTCAGCGATGGGAAAACATTCAATTTTTATGGAAATAAGAATAGTTGCAAGCCTGAATCAATCTTGGATAATAAAAATTGTAATTATTTGAGATTGATTGCTCATATGGCCAATAAGGATCTAGGTGATCCCAAACTTGAGCTTATTCCTATAGTGAAGAATTTCAGTGATGTTTTCCCAGAAGAGTTATCTGGATTACCCCCAGAACGTGAAGTGGAATTTTCTATAGATATCTATCCTGCCACATCACCTATCTCTATACCTCCACATCGGATGGCACCAGTAGAGTTGAAAGAACTCAAAACACAACTTCAAGAGCTTGAAAAAAAAAGGTTTCATTCATCCTAGTACCTCACCATGGGGTTTTCCTGCACTCTTTGTAAAGAAAAGTGATCAAAGTCTAAGGATGTGTATTGACTATCGCCAACTAAATAGAATCACCATCAAGAACATACCTAGGATTGATGACCTGTTTGATCAACTACAAGGTTCCCGATACTTCTCAAAGATTGATCTTCGCTCTGGTTATCACCAACTACGAGTAAAAGCAGAAGATGTATCAAAAACTGCGTTTTGAACGCGATATGGACATTATGAATTCCTAGTAATGCCTTTTCGATTGACAAATGCTCCGGCGGTTTTCATGGACTTAATGAATTGAGTTTTTTGACCTTATCTGGATCAATTTGTGATTGTGTTAATTGATGATATTCTCATTTATTCATCATCTCAAAAAGAACATGAACAACACCTGTCAATTGTTCTACAGACATTGAGAGAACACAAGTTATTTGTCAAGCTAAGTAAGTGTGAATTTTGGTTGACAGAAGTAAAGTTTTTAGGACATGTTATTTCAAAAGAAGGCATCGCCGTGGATCCTGCAAATGTCAAAGCAGTGCTGAATTGGAAAAAACCGAAAAATGTTCATGAAATTCGAAGTTTTCTTGGTTTGGCTGGCTATTATAGGAAATTTATCAAGGATTGTTCTCGGATAGCTAATCCAATGACCAAGTTGACACAAAAGGGAGTTAAGTTTATTTGGGATGATAAATGTAAGGAAGCATTTCACGAGTTAAAAACTTGATTGACATCAGCTCTTGTGTTAATTATACCAGAAAGAGGTGTAAGTTATATAGTGTATACTGATGCATCATTGCATGGTTTAGGATGTGTTTTGATGCAGTCTGACAGAGTTGTTGCTTATGCTTCTCGCCAATTGAAATCACCTGAGAAGAATTACCCGACACACGATCTAGAACTGGCAGCCATTGTTCACGCATTGAAAGTATGGAGACATTATTTATATGGGGAACGTTTTGGACTCTACTCATATCATAAAAGTTTGAAGTACTTATTCACTCAGAAGGAGTTGAATTTAAGACAAAGGCGTTGAATGGAATATCTAGAAGATTATGACTTTGATTTACATTATCATCCAGGAAAAGCTAATGTGGTGGCTGATGCTTTAAGTCGAAATCCCCAAGAAGTCATAGCCAGTTTATATGATCAAAGGTGGAAGATGGTAGAGTCTCTCTATGATTTTGACTTGTACGTAGATGTACACGAGGATTGTGCATATCTATGTAATTTAGTAACTCACCCCACTTTGATTGGAAAGATAATTGAGGCACAAAAATATGATTATGTGTCTAAAGACATTCGAACTAAGATTACCACTGGAGAGACACCAGATGGATGGAATATCCATGCTGACAGTGGATTAAGATATTTGAATAGATTGTATGTACCAGAAATTTCTGATCTGAGAAAGGAAGTTCTAAAAGAAGGACATCATTCGTCCTATACAATTCATCCTGGAGGAACAAAGATGTATCATGACCTGAGACGTAACTTTTGGTGGAGTGGCATGAAGAGAGATATAGAAAAATTTGTAGTGAAGTGTCTTACATGTTAGCAGGTGAAAGCTGAACATCAGAAACCGTCAGGTCTATTACAACCATTACCAGTAGCAGAATGGAAATGGGATCATATAACTATGGATTTTGTTACAGGTTTACCTAAGTCTCCAAAGGGACGAGATGCAGTATGGGTTATAGTGGATCGTTTGACTAAATCTGCACATTTCTTACCAGTCAAAACAATGGATTCCACTGAAAGTCTTGGAAAGCTTTATGTTCGAGAGATAATAAGATTATATGGGATTCCAATTTCGATTGTTTTAGATAGAGATTCTAAGTTTACTTCCAAATTTTGGGGAAGTTTATAGAAAGCGTTAGGTATGCAACTAAATTTTAGTACTGCTTTTCATCCCCAAACTGATGGATAGTCAGAGAGAACCATTCAAATTTTAGAGGACATGTTGATAGCATGTATTCTAGATTTTGGTGGAAGTTGGGAAGATGAAGTGGGAGAAACTGTGTTGCTAGGACCTGATTTGGTACAAGAGACAACTGAAAAGGTTAAACTTATCAAGCAACGTCTCTTAACAGCTCAAAGTCGACAAAAGAACTATGCTGACCGAAGAAGGAAACCATTAAGTTTTAATGTGGGGGATTATGTGTTTTTTAAAGTCTCACCTCGAAGAGGAGTAAAAAGATTTGGAAAAACTGGAAAATTAGCACCAAGGTTTATTGGACCATTTGAGATCTTGGAAAGGATTGGTGAAGTAGCTTATAAGCTAGCATTACCACCTCAACTTTCGAATATACATAGTGTTTTCCATATTTCTATGCTTCGAAAGTATGAGCCTGATCCAACCCATGTTCTAAATTAGGGAGAGCTCAACTTATATAAAGAACTGTCATTTGAGGAAAGACCAATACAGATTTTGGATCATAAGGAACAAGTGTTACGTACGAAAATAATATCATTGGTCAAAGTTCTTTGGTTACATGGAAATACCAGAGAAGCTACATGGGAATTAGAGACAAAAATGTGTAAAAAGTACCCAGAGTTGTTCTCTTAATCCAGTAAGTTTTAATTTAGAGGACGAAATTTCTTTAAGGAGGTTAGATTGTGAAACCACATATTTGTATATACATATATTGGTGAATATTTAGTTCTTAACATAGATATTTAAATATATATATATATAAGTACATATATATTTATACGAGTTAAATTTTTTAGATTTTCATATTAGTTATTAAAAATAGTAGTAATATTAAATAAGTGTATAGCTTTTGACAGCTATCTCTACATTTCTTGTTGACCAAGTTCAATACCCTAGATTTTTTTTACAAACACACTTGAAGACTCCAAGTGTCATTCTAAACACACTTTAAAGACTCCAAGTGTCAGTCTACCTAGGTGACTAAGCCTTATTTAGCATGAGGTGTTGGCAATTAGGTGATAGCTATTCTAGTCTTGGAGCCCAAGTTCCCACATAGTCATCACCTTCCCACCAATGAGAACATATTGATTCCTCCTTGAGTGTTCTATAAATAGGACATTTCCTTTGTTTTTGAGAGAACTGAACCTTGCATAAAAGTTCTAGTAAGGAGAGATAAACGTAGAGGGAGAGAGAATAGTGAGGAAATTCTTGGAAAAGACATAAGGGCTTAGCTTGTGTTTTCTTAAACTTGGAGCTAGCTTTGGAAACAAGGTAGGGGTTTTCTTGGGGGCCTTTTACAAAGATTGATTTAATTAGATTTCATGAGCACTATATTATACTTGATACTATTATTTGATTATTATTGATATTGGGTGTTGAAGTTTTGTTATTTATCTATATTATTAATATTGACATGAGCATATGTTATCGGTGATGGCTGGAAGTCTTGGATTGATAAAGAAAGTATGGAAAAGAGGGTAATGGGAAGAATCTTTTGTATAGTTGAGTCTAACTCTTGGCAAGTACCAGGTCTCAGGGATCCCACAGTGCACATGATTTTTATTGGGTGATTCAAGACTTGCGAAAGGGAGTTAGACAAGATGACTAACAAAAGGGGAATTATGGGACGGTTGAAATGGGGGTTAGTTCATATAAATGGGCATTCGGAACCAAGTGGTATAAGCATGATATGGGACGTGCAGGTCTGCTTGTCCAGTTATATGAATTAACGGGATTAGATGAAGAGCATTCATGCATTATTATTAATAATGTGATATTTGGTTGTGTGATTGGATGTCACTTAATTTAATTATATCAATTTTCTGTAAAAAGGTTTATGTCCCTACTGAGCTGTGGTTTCGCTCACCCCCTAATAGATTTTGCAGATACCGAACCTGAAAGCTAGAGCTTGTGATGATTATGGCATATTTATAAGAGTGTACTGTGTACATAGCTTATGGATAAATAATGAGCTACTCATTTAAGTGAACTCTTGAGTAGTTTTGACTTGTAAAATAATGTAACAATTTCAAGCTTTCAGATGTTGTTGTTTCCCTGAATATTCTATGTGAAATATTTACTTTATTTATTTAAATGTTTCTTCACATTTTAGTTATAGTTTTTATTAAAATTCTATAATTAAGGTGTGAATCAAGTCTTAATCCAAGGTTATGTAAACCCATGGGTTGGGGCATGACACCTTGATATTGCAGCCATGACATGGCAACATGGGATGCCACATAGATTCTATTTTCTACAAGTGCAAGAGTGAATATTTAGATCAACTGCATATTGCCCACCAAGCATATGGGTGACTTGAAACCTGTTTCCACCTGCATTCTGTGCAATGCATGAGCCACTATCTTTCAAATTCTTTTCAATAATCTGAAAGATCCTTGGCCCAACTCTTTGAGTCCATTTCACCTCATTTTGTCTTGCAACTCTCAACATTAAATATGTTCTTATCCTTTCCACCATCGTGATTATTGGTTTATCTCTTGCCTCCAAAATTGCTGAATTGAAACATTCACATAAGTTGTTCAGAAGTATATCACACTTGATCCTAGTACTAAAGTGTGACCTGCTCCAATGAATTGCTGGCCTATTCTTAAGCCATGCATGAGCTGGGGCAGATATTTCCATAATATTGTCCATCTCAGCTTCCCACCAAGGAAGTGTTGTACTTTTAGTAGCAGCCCATAACCTCTGTTTAAGTGCCAGACTACCATGCCCAGCAACTTTGAAATTATTGTGCAGATGCCTTACACAATGCCTATGTTCAGCATCTGGCTTTAAAGCCTCAATTGCTTGCCCCAGTCCTTTTTGTTTGTCAGTGATAAAAACCCACCCATTTCCAGTGCCTCTTACCCTAACATCATTGAAGAATATATCTAAAAACCATGTCCAAGTGTCTCTGCTTTCTGTCTCTACAACAGCAAAAGCAATTGGGAACATGCCATTGTTGGCATTAATCCCAACAACACTTAAAAGTTGTCCTGGATGTTGTCCTTTGATGAAAGCCCTATCAAAACCAACCATGGTTCTGCATCCTTCAATAAACCCCTTCCTCAGTTGAGCAAAACATATATAAAACCTCTCAAAAACTGGATCATCTCCCCATAATGATGTCTTCACTAAAATTGTACTCCTTGGGTTTTGCCTCTTAAGCTCCCCATAATAATCCCACAGCTTTGCATTTTGTTCTTCAATGCTTCCTTGAATCCTCTCAGTTGCCAAATTCTTTGCCTTGTAGCATTGGTCCCTAGTAACATCTATATTGTAATGTTTCGTCACCAATGACATGAAGTCAGCAACTCACATGTTAGGATTGGTTCTGAGATCCTCATCAAACCTTTTAGCCAACCATTGTGAAGTGGCAAACCTAGTTCTTTGAGATCTACCGCATGTATGAATTGGATGGTATGTCTTCACTCTAATAGTGGGTCCTTTCCCAACATGTGCAACATACAATAACCAAGGACAATCTTCTAGTTCATCTTCACCCTCTTCACCCTTACCATGCCTTTTACTCTTATCACTCTTACTATGCCTCTTTGCCTTTTCACCCTTAGTATGCCTCAGTTACCCTCATTATTACCATCACATACCAGCCTCACCTTATTAGGCTCATTCTTCACAAACCTTAGTATTCTAGCACACTTGCATGCATAGTACTTTATGGCCTCTCTACATTCCTGCATATTAGGAAACTCCAAGCCCAAGTGGAATTTTGGATCTAATAGGTAATGCTGTTTATTGTACTGCTTGAATTTTTGCTGCCTCAAACCTCTCTTCTTGTCATCTTCATCTTCAGTATCTTCATGCAAACTCCCTAAGTCTGATGCATTATAACCATCAGTCTCACCCTCACCTGGTTCTTTATGCCCATCATCTTGCTCTTCAGTTACAATATACCTATGAAAATTCATTTTGTCCTCTTCATCACTTTGCTCAAACTCACTATCTATGAAATCACCAACTTCTTTCTCATCCTCCCCACCTTTCTCAGCTTCATCACTTTCTACCTCAACTTCGCCATATTCTTCCTCTGCCTCACCAAATTCTTCCTCTATGTCAACATCCACAAAGTCATATTGCCCATTTTCTTCATCAGCATCATATCCAGGAGCAACATCTTCATAATCTTCAACATTTTCACCGTATGCAGAGAATATTGGGGACTGAACATTTAGAGGCCTAGGTGCTGGATTTTCAGTTATGTATAACACAAACAGCTGGCTCCCTTTCACCAACTTCACTGCTCCAAAATAATCTTGTGCTTGTAATAGTATTGAATGTTCTGTTCATCATAACCAATGTGTTTAACCATTTCAAATAACTCAAGAATTGAAACCTCATCTGAATCTTGCCCATCAACCCATTGTACAATACCTTCCATATATAAACTATCAACAAAGTAGCCCCCGTGGTGTACTTCAAGTGTGAACATATCATGATTAGCTGCACAACAATTAATTTTCTCATTAATTTACTATCTACCATATACAATACAATACCAACACAACAAACAAGTTAAATATTGCCAGACAAACAATAAACAAACAACATGCATAGGGACCACATTCACAACCCAACCTTGTTAAAGTCTCAATCAACAAACAACATCCATAGGGACCACTTTCTTCCTTTTATTATGCTTTTTCATGAAGTCCAGTGATCGGTTCATAATTGTATATCATTTTGTACCCTTCTAGCTTATGATTTGGTTATGTTTTTGAGTTAAACTTGTGCTTTTAATCCTTTTTGTGTTTATCTTTCAGTTCATTGAGCTTTAGGTAATAATGAGGGCTTTGGATAGTAAAACGGCTCGTGCACTTGCGAGTATCACAAGTTGAGGATGCAACTGAATCCATTTTGGTGCAGCTGTATCTACACAACATCCAGCATAAACAAAACAGTCAAACCCAATGAAATCCGACAAGAACAAAAAATAAAACCCAAACAATTGCATCAAACAAATAAAATAAAGTAAGCTACTTACTGTATGTGGAAGCTTCCCCACCATCTCTGATTTTCATTGTCTTTGACTCTTTCTCCTATTCAATCTGTTGCCTTTACCAAATCACCTTTGTCGCACCTTGGTTTGGAATCTTCAAGTCAGAAAATATCTCCCAAATCGAATCTCTTAGTTGCAATCTGTCTTTCTCTCTCACCCTTTTTCGAATCTTTCAGTCACTGTCTCTCTTTCACTCTCACCCTTTTTCGAATCTTTCAACTTGGTCCCTAAGTCTGATTTGGGAATTGGGCATACAAATGAAGCACTAAAAAGGGGTTTGAGGTCTGAGGAATAAAAGGACGAGATTACCCTCAACAGAAGCCTCACGTGCCATTCACGTGGTGTTTTTGACGGGCATTTGGATGGAATTGAGAAAAAGCTAATGGCAGGGGCGAAATTGGCGAATAAATTTAATATGAAGGCTAAATTGGCTGAAAAATTAATTCAGGGTGGACATTTCGATAGTCGAAATAGTCCAGGGGGGTATTCGGTAATTTACCCAACAATATATATATGTATTCCTGAAAAATGAGATGAAGAGAGAGAAGTAGTATTTTCATTTTACTTTTGAAGGGTTGATCTAATATAGGACCCTACAATTTCTATTTCCTAGACATCAACCCATTAATTTTGAAATCTATGTATAAAACCCATATTCAAACTAAAATGCCTCGTAAGATATAAGTACTCCTATTATTCATCTATATGTTAGATTTTAGTAAACTATTGGCTAACAAGTTTTTTGTGACTTCCATCCTCGTCTCGGTACGTATGCCCACAGACTACAACATCCTCTCTTTTTTTCTTTTTTTTTTTCCCTTCGTTCCCACCAGAAATGCAGCATAAAAGTGTCTCCTCTAGTGAATTAATAACATGATACATTTAAATGTTTCTACAGCTTCCCAGGGGTTGACCCAAATGATCCTTCAGTTAAAGATTTGATTGCTTCCATGCAAAACCAGTCGGAGGTGAGATTATTAAACGTCTGATTATGATTTATGAATAATAGAAAATAATTATAGGCCAGTATACCAAGTTACCTAGGCCTTGAGTTACCTTTTACCTTTTACCTTTTATATGCGACATATATCTCTCTACTCTAGTTGTGATCTTTTAAGCTTCTAGATTGACTTTTGGATCGATGTTTGTCCTTAGAAGTCATTTATAAAGGGGTAAATTTGTATTTAAAAATTTGAAGATAAAGTGAGTAGGAAAATAGGACAAAAGAGTGCAAATAGCAACACTCTCAAATAAAATCAGTTGCTTCCTATTTTTTGTCTCGATTGGAATCTAATTTAATAAAACTCTACTGTTTTGAAACTCTACAGAGGGGTTGAAGTGTTTTCGAAAAAAAAAACCCCTTCACATGCCCTGCTTTTTTTTTTTGGTCTGAACCATGAGGTGGTCCTGGATGGGCCCCAACTATGGGTGGCACCTTTAAGCCTTAACCACAACCCAGACTAATCCCCACTCACACCGGGTCGGCCCGTAAGGGGTAAAGTGTTGGCCAAAGTGGTGACTCCGTACGAGAGCAGGGATCGAACCTCTGACCTCTCTTAAGGAATGAGAGTGCCGAACCACTCACACCAACCACCTTGGTTTCACATGCCCTGCTTTCAAAATTGAATAGCACCATATCTTAGCACACAGTCCTGATCTCTTGGACCACAGGAGTCCAAGAAATTGTGGTCACCTACCGTTGGATATTAATCCAATGGTTCAAAAAAGTTTCTTAAAAGGAGTGCAAGAGTGAGTTCACCGTTGAATTTACATCCAACGGTGAGTGACCACAAATCTCTTGGACCCCTGTGGTCCAAGAGATCGGGACTATCTTAGCACATTGTCATATTATACTTTTAAAAAATATTTATGTTTTCCGTAGATTTCTTAAAACTAGATAAAAATACGCATTTGTTTAATGTAAATGTATTATTCTCGTATCATATGTATGTATGAACTCTTCACAATTAATACATGTTTTTTTCCACATATTGCAATGATACACGTATTATTTGCATATTTTATTCGTATTTTTCACGTATTACTGAAAAATAACTACAAATCACAAAATTTGTATATTTATAAATTTAAAATTTAAAAATAAAAAAAAAAGGGTTAATGGAACTCAGGAACCAAAGATAATTAGCATTAAATTTTGAAAAGGTTTTCTCTTCAAATATCCGACTTGGGGCAAATTAGGGAAAAGAAAGAAAAAAGAGCATGTCCTGTGAGCCCAGCAAGTTGACCATTTGCCTTGAAGAAACCGCGTTAAACCGTCTCAAACGCGTCATAAGATCTCGCAACTGTCAGAAAATCTCTGTATTTGCTTGCTTCAGCCCCATTACATGCCCAAATCATGTTCGAAATTTGAAATTTGAATAGCGCTGATCTTTAGTCGAATATTATTTGATTTCCAAACCTCTCTCTTTTCACAATTTGCAATTTCTTCATTCTCTCTCTCACTTTCTTCATTCTCTTTCTCGGTGAAAGTGAAACCCAGTTGCGTTTGAGCTCACTAACGAATTCAAAATCAGCGAAACCCTAAATCCACCCACCCACTCTCTCATTCTGATCGATCGATTTTCAATTGATCGCCTTTTCACTTTCCTCAATTTATTTCTTTCTTTTCTGACATTGTTTCCGTGAATTTGAAGAGTTGTGTTCTCTGTAATTGATTCTGGGAATGAAGTAGAAAATGGAAGGTGATTTTCAGTTTGGGTCGAATTCAAATTGTTTGGATATTCTCTCTGAGGTTGCAGTTGTTGTCAAAAATTGGGAGGAAGAGGATGTTGAGAAGGCCATGGCCATGGCTGTGAGAAGCCGCTGTAACCCACTTCAGGGATTTGGGTTTGATGGGTATGTGGTTTCTGACAAAGCCACGATCAAGATAACGAATAGGGTTAGGGTTTCATCATCATCATCATCATCTGCCTTGGATATGTTGCTTCAAGTTACAAGCAATGAATTGATGGAGTTGAAAAAAGCCAACACCTTCGGTGGCATATGCATACCTAAGAAGAAAAGAACAAGTCTGAGAAGGGGGAGGACGGTGCTTACTTCCTTTCCATGCTCTTCTCATGATTCCATCCCACTACATCAGATACCAAGGAAGAAAAGGTCCAATCTGAGGAGGGGGAGGACAATACATAACTTCCTTTCCATGCACTTCTTGCAAGAATTAGACAGGGTTTTGGCAGAGAAGGGTACTGTTGACTTCACACTCTTCCCACTCAACGACATTTGCATACCCAAGAAGAAAGCTGCCAAAGTGAATCCAATGAAGCTCTGCTCATTCCGGCTTAATTCCCCTGCCTGTTCAAGTACTTCTTGCATCAGCCAGGACTGTTAGTGCACTGCATACATATAAGGAGTAAGGTCTTTTAGTTTTGTTATAGAGATTCTTTGGGTTTCTTGCTTCTGAAACCAATTCATTAATTGATTACACTGTAAATCATTATTATATAGTTGATGGAATTTAATTGTTCTGTTTTTCTTATAAAGGATTGAATTGTATGTTATCTCTTCAATGGAATGAATCTTCAATGGGGTTCTGTGCATACTCAAATTGAGGCAAGTTTTTCTCTTTTGCTTTCTCTTCGCATGCTATTCTGTCTGCCTGTCCATTTTTATATCCTTTTCCTCATTAATCCATGCTTCATATTTGGAATTGATTTTTTTTTAATTAGATTATGCATACGTTAATTTCTAATTATTTGGTTGGCTAATATCATCATTCTACTTATGGAGGAGAATAGAAGAGCTATCTTCTTTATTGTCTCATAATTTTTTAATCTGTGGCTAATATTTGTGGTTGGCACCTATTGTCCATTTTTGTTATTGTGCCCCACATGGCTTTCATGTTTTTTTGGGTGAAGTAAAAACAACTAAGCAATGCAAAAATCTCTATTTTGGTTAACTGGGGTATAATTTTGACAAACATGATACAATATTCATGAAGGATCAACTTTTGACTCTTGGATCATCTAGTTTAATACTTTCAGCTAGATTGGATGATTTGTTTGGTGATTCTGTAAAACTTAGACTTATTTCTGAATATCTTTGTCACAGTGTGTTAGTTCTCTTTCGATGGAGCTGTCCCTTTCTATGGAATTAGGCTCAGAAAATCTGTATAATTAAGCTCATCACTAGTATAGAAAGTGGTGAATTTGTATAATTCACCACACTCTGTGAATTTGTACAATTATGCTCATTACTGGTATAGAACTGTCCCTCCACTCAGAAAATTTGTATATTTAGGCTCCAGAATAGTATGCGGTGAATTTCAACTCTTTCACTAACCAATCTTCAACTTTCCTTTGATTATTACTTGAAGAACTGGATTAATTGTCATATCTGAAAGTGCAGCTTGTCCTTTGTAATTCTTGAGCAATTCTTCTCTGTGGTTCTGATGTCTACTTACTTTCTTGAGCAATGAGGAAGAAAAAGGAGCCAACCAGTTCACTGCCTCAGTGAAGAGGTCGTTCAGAAAATGCAAATGAGAATGAAGCACCAGTGGAGAGCATTGCTTGTAATTGTGGTAAGATTCTTATAAACAACCAAAACTAATCTCGAAATTCAAAATTATGTGGTTGAAGATAAGATAATTTTTTAGCTCACAATCAGGCATATCACATGGACCTCTAGTTGAATTCTTATAGCAACCAATAGTGACAAGCCTAAGCTCATGAGTCTATTTGGAGAGCAATGGACAACAGAGTAATGAGGATGAAACGTCTATTGGTGCAGTGCATAGCATATTTCTTGACCTTTTGACAATTTGATTTCTAAGCAGCATGTCCTGCTCTCTCTCTCTCTCTCCTTCATTTATTTTTCTCCCCAACCTTCTCAGTTTCATCTCACTTTTTGAGGCTATCAAATATCAGTTCTGTGCTTGCTGCAACATTTCTGTACATGTACTATGTTCGCTGCATTTGAAGTCTTGTTTACCTGATTGTTCTTGTTGCTAGGTCTCTCTTTATCCCCCTCCCCCTTTCCTCTTTTTCTGATCTTCTCGCTTTCATCTCAGTTTTTTAGGCTTTCAGGTATGGGTTGTGTGCTTGGTGCAGGATTTCTGTACATGTACTATGCTCACTTTAAAAGGGAAGTTTCTCTAGAACTTAATATTGATCTATATTTTGCTATGAAATGCAAATCACACTTATGCATCCAAATCTTTCAAGGTGGCTAAGAATTTTAAATAAGTCTTGGATGGTGTTGCAGGTTTACGTTGTTTTTCTGCTGATCATATGAATTATCTTGATTGATGATTATGTATGGACAACTTGTTTGTCTTTCCTTGTATGTTTATTAAACTTTAAGCTCTCTTGTATGAAAAAAGAGGTCGGTGTATTCTTACTCTTGTTAGGTGATATCATTGCTTCCTTACTCTTGTTTTGGATTTCATCTCAATAGTAAATTTATAATTGAAATTATTTCCTTTGAAAGGTTATATTCGACACATGATTGTTATTTTTTTTTTGGACTCCTGAACAATGTTGTTTGAAAGATTTTGCAGGGTTTGCAACAAATTGAATTTATTCTTTGTTTACCAAAAGAAAACAAGGTTAGAAAGAGGGGTGAAAAAAGGCGTGATGATCCTAAATGGCTCAACTTCACATGCCCCATTCCCTCTATTCTGAAATTACAGCTAAATTCTGATACTTTGTTGTAAGAAAATACTTAAAGCATTTGGATGGATGAATTTGATTATTGCATTTACCAATTATGAAGGATTGAATTGTATTTGTGTAATCTCTTCAATGGAATAAAGTTGTGCTATGGTTCTTTCCATGCCCAAATTGAGACTCACACACTGTTCTGTCTATTTATCAATTTATGATCCTTTACCTCAAATTAATGCTTCATATTTGGCATAGAAATTCATTCTTTAGATAGAAAATAAACAAGGAGTAAAACAACGTTAATTAAATGAGGCAGGAAAAGAATGAGTAGAACAACAGTTTCAAAAGCCATATATAACGAATTTTACGATAGGTTTGATGGTAAAAGTTTCCTTGAAAGGGTTGGTCTGCAAAAACAACTTCTTTCTGATATCCTGAAACCAACCAAGGTAAAGGTAAGTAGTGTTGCTGAAGGGATCAATGTGATAGGAAAAAGTCTTGGAAGCTTAAAGGTAATTGTCATAGTTGACGATATAGATGGTGTGGAGCAGCAACAAGAGATGAACATTTTCTAAATACACTTGGAAGTCGACCAGATATCGAGCGTAACCAATGGAAGAAGAAGAAGCTCTTGAAAAATATTCCTTGTCATGAAATTCATAATCAGCTCAAAATAAGCTATGATGGGCTAAGTGATGACTACGAGAGGGATATTTTCTCACACACGCTGACAAGGTATAATGGGGGGGTTTGAACTTGAAATTACTGATCTGCAAATTAAAACCATTTTTCACTAGACTAAATCTCATTGGCAATATGCAACATTATTTGGGTGGCTGGTTTTAATTATACGGTCTACATGTGGATTTCCTGTGCGGTAAGGAACTCATCAAATTGAGGTACGAAACCACCATATAGCTAAAATGTCCCAAATCTATGTGATTTTGAATGAAGACTTTATTTTACAATATATATGAGTGTAATTTGTTGATAATTTATGTTCCTGTTATAGCACTTGAGTATATATAACACTTCGCTTAAAGAGCATCCTGTGCACATAACATGTTATAAGACGTCTCAAATTCGAATATGTCTCATCTCTCATCGATAAGAAACACTAAATAAACAAACCGGAGAAGTAACAGAAAAAAAACAACACTAGAGAGATAATGTTAAACTGCATTGACAAGTTTAATGGTTATGGAAGGCTGTTCAATTTAGAGGGTGACAGACAAGCCGTTTGTATCAATCGTCAGTGAAAAATAGTAAAAACATATTTCTTCAGTTACTTCCCTTGTATTTGAGCGTTTCATTCGGATTAGTCCGATAAAATGGTTTAAGACAGATAATATTTTCAGTTAAGGACTCTATTGCTCTTGTAATTATCCACACAAGGATTTTTTTTTATGGGACTATAAAAACCCAACATGTTTTACCATTGATGGGCGCCAACTTAATTTCTTCTCTTCTTCTTTTTCAATTCATTTCATTTTGAGTCATAGAAGCACCCGGTGATTTCGTACAAATGGCTGTAACACCAGCAAGCGACGCGTTCATTGCCCCGGAAATGAATTCATTTGGGCAGTCATTCAGGTTTGTGTTATTATGCTTTTGTTCACATTTTTACGTAAACACTATATTACATACACTCACCAAATTTGTACACTAAATTTATCAACTAAATGATGCAACTGTTATTTCATTCGTTCGAATGTTCAAATAATGAGACATACATATTATTTGGTGAACAAATTCGATAAAGAAATTCGAGCTGGCTCGACGTGTTTGTTTCTTTCAGTGAACAAAATGAACTAAAGTGCGGCATGCATGGTATGAAAATGAATTGATTGCAGGGACTATAATGCAGAAAGTGAAAGGCAGAAAAGCGTGGAGGAATTCTACCGGCTGAACCACATAAACCAAACGTACAATTTTGTGAAGAAGATGAGAGAGGAGTATAGCAAGTTGAATAGAGTGGAAATGAGCATATGGGAATGTTGTGAGCTCCTGAATGAGGTTGTCGATGACAGTGACCCTGATTTGGATGAACCACAAATTGAGCACTTGTTGCAAACAGCAGAAGCAGTTAGAAAAGACTATCCCAATGAAGATTGGCTGCACTTGACTGCTCTTATTCATGACCTTGGAAAAGTGCTTTTGCTTCCTAAGTTTGGAGGGCTTCCTCAATGGGCGGTTGTTGGAGACACTCATCCTCTAGGGTGCGCTTTTGATGAGGCCATTGTTCACCACAAGTACTTCAAGGAAAATCCAGACCACAACAACCCTTCATATAATTCTAAGTATGGAATTTACTCCCATGGATGTGGACTTGAAAATGTCATGATGTCATGGGGTCATGATGACTACATGTACTTGGTGGCCAAGGAAAATGGAACCACTTTGCCTCAGGCTGGATTGTTCATCATTAGGTATCACTCTTTTTATCCTCTGCACAAATCTGGGGCATATGAACACCTAATGAACAAGGAGGACGAAGAGAATTTGAAGTGGCTTCAAATATTCAACAAATATGACCTCTATAGCAAGAGCAAAGTTCGAATTGATGTTGAGAAAGTAAAGCCTTACTATTTATCTCTTATTGACAAGTACTTCCCAGAAAAGCTCAGATGGTGATCGGGGGAAATGATTCATATCATATAATATTTGGGAAAAATTATGAACCCTAATGTGTGCTCTGTTTCATACCTTCTTTAATTTATCCTGTATGAATAAACAAACGTTTGGTTAAAATATGAAAAATAATGTATTTTTGTGCTGCTGTGCATACACATACATATATACATACTAATAAAGATTGGTTTTCTTCCATTTTTATCTGCAGTAATCTATTTTTATTTTATTTTATTTTTTATCTAAAAAAAAAAGGAAAGAATAAGATGATTGCACTTCCTAAACCCTAATTTTAACAAAGTGGGCCCCAAAGCCATATATGATGCAAAAGACATGTTAATTGTATGAGTGTTGTTAAAGAAACCTTAAAATTAACTGAGAACACTCTATGATCTAAGTACATTCTAATATTGAAATTAAAAATATAAAATTAACTAAGTTCACCTTATTTAACTATCAAAATACTCCTTGTACACTCTAATACACTCTATCACACAATGCCAAACTTGAACAGAAGATAACAGTTTCTATATACAAAAACCAACTTTGTTGGTATTACTTGATTAATTTCCTCCCATATCTCATGTAATCAATTCAAATCAAAAGAGCCATTCCGCAAACCTTGTTGGAAATAAAAAGAATTATCTATTTTGTTTTGTCTTTTAGGAACCAGTGTTTACCTACAAGCCAAGTCTTTATGAATTAGAGACTCATGTTTATATTTGGGTTGATAGTTCATGAATGAGATTCACACTTATTTGAATGTATAACAATGAATCATCGTGAAGGCATGACAATAAAATAACTTCATGACCTGAAGAGGGGCGCATTGGACCAATTTAGGATGAGTAATGTGTGACAATTAACATATGCTTGTGTTATTTGTGCACCCAAATTAACATATGTTTATTTTTCATTAGCTAAGGTTGAATAGCTTTTTTTTTTCTTTTTTGGTTTTTTTAATCAAAGGTTTAACAATTTTTAATCAAAGGTTTCTTGTTTTGATTAAAAACATTGTGAATTATCTATAAAAGCATTTCACAAGGGGTTTGTACTTGAATTCGAGATTATTTGTTCAAATCTCCTTCCTCCAACGTTGTTTATATTAAATATATATATATATATATATTTCCTATGTTCTGTGGCAAACAAATTTTTTGAAAAGGTTCTCTTCAAATATCCGACTTGGGGCAATTTATCAAATATAACTCGTAAAGAATTGAGTTAGGGCAAATTAGGGAAAAGAAAGAAGAACAGGTCCTGTGAGCCCAGCAAGTTGACCATTTGACTTGAAGAAACCGCGTTAAACCGCCTCAAACGCGTCATAAGATCTCGCAACGGTCATTATATATGTAGAAGTAGTTGCTTGCTTCAGGCCCATTATACTTTCCCAAATCATGTTCGAAATTTGAAATTTGAATAGCGCTGACTTGTAGTCGAATATTAGTTGAATAGCGCTGACCTCTCTCTTTTCACAATTTGCAATTTCTTCATTCTCTCTCTCACTTTCTTCGTTCTCTCTCTGTGAAAGTGAAAGTGAAACCCAGTTGTGTTTGAGTTCACTAAGGAAATCAAAATCAGCGAAACCCTAAATCCACCCACCCACTCTCTCATTCTGATCGATTGATTTTCAATTGATCGCCTTTTCACTTTCCTCTCTTTTCTGAGTTGTTTCTGTGAATTTGAAGAGTTGTGTTCTCTGTGTTTGGTTCTGGGAATGAAGGGGAAAATGGAAGGTGATTTTCAGTTCAGGTCGAATTCAAATTCTTTGGATCTTCTCTCTGAGGTTGCAGTTGTTGTCAAAAATTGGGAGGAAGAAGATGTTGAGAAGGCCATGTCCATGGCTGTGAGAAGCCGCTGCAACCCACTTCAGGGATTTGGGTTTGATGGGTATGTGGCTCCTGACAAGGCCACGATCAAGATAACGAATAGGGTTAGGGTTTCATCATCATCATCATCTGCCTTGGATATGTTGCTTCAAGTTACAAGCAATGAATTGATGGAGTTTAAAAAAGCCAACACCTTCAGTGGCATATCAATACCAAAGAAGAAAAGAACAAGTCTGAGGAGGGGGAGGACAATGCTAACTTCCTTTCCATGCTCTTCTCATGATTCCATCCCACTGCATCAGATACCAAGGAAGAAAAGGTCCAATCTGAGGAGGACTAAAAGGGCTTTCTTGCCAGATTTTTCTCATGATTCCACCCTCCAAGTTATAAAAAAGGCTATGCAAGAATTAGAAAGGGTTTTGGCAGAGAAGGGTACTGTTGACTTCACACTCTTCCCACTCAACGACATTTGCATACCCAAGAAGAAAGCTGCCAAAGTGAATCCAATGAAGCTCTGCTCATTCCGGCTTAATTCCCCTTCCTGTTCAAGTACTTCTTGCATCAGCCAGGACTGTTAGTGCACTGCATACATATAAGGAGTAAGGTCTTTTAGTTTTGTTATAGAGATTCTTGGGGTTTCTTGCTTCTGAAACCAATTCATTAATTGATTACACTGTAAATCATTATTATATGGTTGATGGAATTTAATTGTTCTGTTTTTCTTATAAAGGAATGAATTGTATGTTATCTCTTCAATGGGGTTCTGTGCATACTCAAATTGAGGCAAGTTTTTCTCTTCTGCTTTCTCTTCGCATGCTATTCTGTCTGCCTGTCCATTTTTATGTCCTTTTCCTCATTAATCCATGCTTCATATTTGGAATTGAATTTTTTTAATTAGATTATGCATACGTTAATTTCTAATTATTTGATTGGCTAATATCATCATTCTACTTATGGAGGAGAATAGAAGAGCTATCTTCTTTATTGTCTCATAATTTTTTAATCTGTGGCTAATATTTGTGGTTGGTACCTATTGTCCATTTTTGTTATTGTACCCCACATGGCTTTCATGTTTTTTTGGGTGAAGTGAAAACATCTAAGCATTGCAAAAATCTCTATTGTGGTTAACTGGGGTATAATTTTGACAAACATGATACAATATTCATGAAGGATCAACTTTTGACTCTTGGATCATCTAGTTTAATGCTTTCAGCTAGATTGGATGATTTGTTTGGTGATTCTGTGAAACTTAGATTTATTTCTGAATATCTTTGTCACAGTGCGTTAGTTCTCTTTCGATGGAGCTGTCCCTTTCTATGGAATTAGGCTCAGAAAATCTGTATAATTAAGCTCATCACCAGTATAGAAAGTGGTGAATTTGTATAATTCACCACACTCTGTGAATTTGTACAATTATGCTCATTACTGTTATATAAGAACTGTCCCTCCACTCAGAAAATTTGTATATTTAGGCTCTAGAATAGTATGTGGTGAATTTCAACTCTTTCAACTCTTTCACTAACCAATCTTCAACTTTGATTATTACTTGAAGAACTGGATTAATTGTCATATCCGAAAGTGCCGCTTGTCCTTTGTAATTCTTGAGCAATTCTTCTCTGTGGTTCTGATTTCTGCTTCCTCTCTTGAGCAATGAGGAAGAAAAAGGAGCCAACCAGTTCACTGCCTCAGTGAAGAGGTCGTTCAGAAAATGCAAATGAATGAAGCACCAGTGGAGAGCATTGCTTGTAAATGAGGTAAGATTCTTATAAACAACCAAAACTAATCTCGAAATTCAAAATTATGTGGTTGAAGATAAGAGAATTTTTTAGCTTACAATAAGACATATCACATGGACCTCTAGGTCAAATCTTATAGCCACCAATAGTGTCAAGCCTAAGGTCATGAGTCTATTTGGAGAGCGATGAGCAATAGAGTAATGAGGATGAAATGTATATTGTTGCAGTACATAGCATATTTCTTGACCTTTTGACAATTTGATTTCTAAGCAGCATATCCTGCTCTATATCCCTCATGCATAATTTTGTGTTTTTAATTTGCTTCACAATGACGGCCTTCTTTTTGGCTACTTATTAATTTATTTGACCAGAACCAGGAATAAAGAATAAAACATTAGTTGAAGAAGAATGAGAACTTTGTGTCTTGACTTTTCAGAAGTTTTCCCCTAAAATAGTTATATTAGGTTTCCAGAGTAAATATGAAACATTAAAATGTATTAGGTTTTGGTACACTATTAAATAGAGATTCTTTTCCTGAAAAAGAAAAAAGTTTCTAAGTTTTCTTTACATGGCTGTTCTTGTTGCTCTCTTCTCTCTCCCTATTCATTTATTTTTCTCCCTAACCTTCTCAGTTTCATCTCACTTTTTGAGGCTATCAAATATCAGTTATGTGCTTGCTGCAACATTTCTGTACATGTACTATGTTCGCTGCATTGAAAGTCTTGTTTACCTGATTGTTCTTGTTGCTAGGTCTCTCTTTATCCCCCTCCCCCTTTCCTCTTTTTCTGATCTTCTCTCTTTCATCTCAGTTTTTTAGGCTTTCAGGTATGGGTTGTGTGCTTGGTGCAGGATTTCTGTACATGTACTATGCTCACTTAACAAGGGAAGTTTCTCTAGGACTTAGTATTGATCTATATTTTGCTATGAAATGCAAATCACACTTATGCATCCAAATCTTTCAAGGTGGCTAAGAATTTTAAATAAGTCTTGGATGGTGTCGCAGGTTTACGTTGTTTTTCTGCTGATTATGTATGGACAACTTGTTTGTCTTTCCTTGTATGTTTATTAAACTTTAAGCTCTCTTGTATGAAAAAAGAGGTCGGTGTATTCTTACTCTTGTTAGGTGATATCATTGCTTCCTTACTCTTGTTTTGGTTGGGATTTCATCTCACAAGTAAATTTATAATTGAAATTATTTCTTTTGTAAGGTTATATTCGACACATGATTGTTATTATTTTTTGGAACTCCTGAACAATGTCGTTTGAAAGATTTTGTAGGGTTTGCAACAAATTGAATTTATTCTTTGTTTAGCAAAAAAAGAAAAGACAAGGTTCGAAAGAGGGTGAAAAAAGGCGTGATGATCCTAAATGGCTCAACTTCACATTCCCTGCTTGCATAATGGATACTTCAAATGCCCCATTCCCTTTATTCTGAAATTACAGCTAAATTCTAATATTTTGTTGTAAGAAAATACTTAAAGCATTTGGATAGAATGAATTTGATTCTTGCATTTACCAATTATGAAGGATTGAATTGTATTTGTGTAATCTCTTCAATGGAATAAAATTGTTCGATGGTTTTCTCTCCATGCCCAAATTGAGACACACTGTTCTGTCTATTTATCAATTTTTGAGGCTTTACCTCAAAGTTAATGCTTCATATCTGGAATTGAAATTGATTCTTTAGATAGAAATTAAACAAAAAGAAGAAGGAAAAGGAAAACAAACATTTGAAGCAGCCATTTCGATCTTGCAGAGATATGCCCCTTTTTATTGAATGGGTGTGACCAAAATAAGACAAAACCATTTTTTTTATTTGGTCTCGTCCCTTTTTGAAATTTGAATTTTCTTTTAGTTTTGAAATGTGAGAAATAGAACCTTCCAATTAAATAACTAATAAAAAGCTACTAAACCTTTGATAAAAAAGTTTTAAAAAAAATTTGGAACATTAGCTAATAAAAAAAGAACATTTTAATAAAAAGCACTCATTTTAGATTGGTCAAATGCACCACTATTGGCGTCATGAAGTTATTTTAGTTGGCATGCCTTCACAAATATTTTATTGTTCAACATTCAAAAAAGCGTGAATATCTCATTCATGAATTATCATCTCAAATGAGAATAAGAAATAGTCTGATTTATGAATTATACAGGATTTTGGGAGCAGGTAAATAGTAGTACCAAGAATAGCTACCACGGCAACCAAATCAAGGTCTAATGGTTTCGGACCATTCATGTGTGGGAGTTGGTTGTTGTATCTCTCTGGGTTTTGCAGCACCTAGAAATAATCATTTTATTATTCCTGTGAAATCATTCATGTGTGTGTTGAACATTTTCAATTGATTTTCCAGGCATGAAATTGTTAGTGTTGTGACCAAAGCTAGGAAGAATGTGGAGAAATTCAAAGTAGGTGGTGATCGTGTAGGAGTTGGGGTCATAGTGGGTTCCTGCATGAAATGTGAGAACTGCGACCAAGACTTGGATAACTACTGCCCTCGAGCAATATTTACCTATAACTCACACGATCACGAATCAATAGAAGTCTTCGATCATAGCATCCTCAATAATTCTAGGAGTCCCAAACCAAGAATAATCTCACATTATGTACCTCAATTGACGACCCACAAGCCACAATTTGCATTCCTTATTAGGGTTTGTGAAGAGAAGATGAGAGTGTAATAGGTTTTTTGGATTGAAAGAGAAGAATAATCTAGCAATAGGGTCTAAAGGAGTTTGTGTTTTTCTGAGTGTTTGTATAGATGTACTAGGTATTAAGTTGGATGACATTTTGTCCTTTTATACAATAATAAAACTTAAGAGCTTAATAATTTACGTATTGGGGTGAACAAAGAAATATGTGGGATTTAAATAGAAAAACTCTTTAAAAAATCTTAACCATTCAATTAATCTAATGAAGATTAATTATTCCACCTCAATTCCAAATATGAGGCATTAAATTTGAGGAAAAGCATCATAAATTGATAAATAGACAGAACAGTGTGTGAGTCGCAATTTGGGCATGGAGAGAAAACCATAGAACAATTTTATTACATTGAGACTACACAAATACAATTCAATCCTTCATAATTGGTAAATGCAAGAATCAAATTCATTCTATCCAAATGCTTTAAGTATTTTCTTACAACAAAGTATTAGAATTTAGCTGCAATTTCAGAATAAAGGGAATGGGGCATTTGAAGTATCCATTATGCAAGCAGGGAATGTGAAGTTGAGCCATTTAGGATCATCACGCCTTTTTTCACCCTCTTTCGAACCTTGTCTTTTCTTTTTTTGCTAAACAAAGAATAAATTCAATTTGTTGCAAACCCTGCAAAATCTTTCAAACAACATTGTTCAGGAGTCCAAAAAAAATAACAATCATGTGTCAAATATAACTTTTCAAACGAAATAATTTCAATTATAAATTTACTTGTGAGATGAAATCCCAACCAAAACAAGAGTACGGAAGCAATGATATCACCTAACAAGAGTAAGAATACACCGACCTCTTTTTTCATACAAGAGAGCTTAAAGTTTAATAAACATGGAAAGACAGACAAGTTGTCCATGCATAATCATAAATCAAGATAATTCACATGATCAGCTGAAAAACAACGTAAACCTGGGAGACCATCCAAAACATTTAAAATGCTTAGCCACCTTGAAAGATTTGGATGCATAAGATTTGTATTTCATAAAATATAGATCAATATTAAGTTCTAGAGAAACTTCCCTTGTATAGTGAGCATAGTACATGTACAGAAATCCTGCACCAAGCACACAACCCATACCTGAAAGCCTCAAAAACTGAGATGAAAGCGAGAAGATCAGGAAACGAGGAAAGGGGGAGGGGGATAAAGAGAGACCTAACAACAAGAACAATCAGGTAAACAAGACTTTCAATGCAGCGGACATAGTATAAGCACAGAAATGTTGCACCACGCGCATAACTGATATTTGATAGCCTCAAAAAGTGAGATGAAACTGAGAAGGTTGGGGAGAAAAATAAATGAAGAGGGAGGGAGAGAGAGAGAGAGAGAGAGAGAGAGCAGGATATGCTGCTTAGAAATCAAATTGTCAAAAGGTCAAGAAATATGCCATGCACTGCACCAATAGACGTTTCATCCTCATTACTCTGTTGTCCATTGCTCTCCAAATAGACTCATGAGCTTAGGCTTGTCACTATTGGCAGCTATAAGAATTGAACTAGAGGTCCATGTGATATGTCTGATTGTGTCACTATTGGCAGCTATAAGAATTGAACTAGAGGTCCATGTGATATGTCTGATTGTGAGCTAAAAAATTCTCTTATCTTCAAACACATAATTTTGAATTTCGAGATTAGTTTTGGTTGTTTATAAGAATCTTACCTCATTTACAAGCAATGCTCTCCACTGGTGCTTCATTCTCATTTGCATTTTCTGAACAACCTCTTCACTGAGGCAGTGAACTGGTTGGCTCCTTTTTCTTCCTCATTGCTCAAGAAAGGAAGTAGACATCAGAACCACAGAGAAGAATTGCTCAAGAATTTCAAAGGACAAGCTGCGCTTTCAGATATGACAATTAATCCAGTTCTTCAAGTAATAATCAAAGGAAAGTTGAAGATTGGTTAGTGAAAGAGTTGAAAGAGTTGAAATTCACTGCATACTATTCCAGACCCTAAATATACAAATTTTCTGAGTGGAGGGGCAGTTCTTCTATACCAGTAATGAGCATAATTGTACAAATTCACAGAGTGGTGAATCATACAAATTCACCACTTTCTATACTAGTGATGAGCTTAATTATACAGATTTTCTGAGCCTAATTCCATAGAAAGGGACAGCTCCATCGAAAGAGAACTAACACACTGTGACAAAGATATTCAGAAATAAGTCTAAGTTTTACAGAATCACCAAACAAATCATCCAATCTAGCTGAAAGTATTAAACTAGATGATCCAAGAGTCAAAAGTTGATCCTTCATGAATATTGTATCATGTTTGTCAAAATTATACCCCAGTTAACCAAAATAGAGATTTTTGCAATGCTTAGATGTTTTTACTTCACCCAAAAATACATGAAAGCCATGTGGGGCACAATAACAAAAATGGACAATAGGTACCAACCACAAATATTAGCCACAAAATTATGAGACAATAAAGAAGATAGCTCTTCTATTCTCCTCCATAAGTAGAATGATGATATTAGCCAACCAAATAATTAGAAATTAACGTATGCATAATCTAATTAAAAAAATTCAATTCCAAATATGAAGCATGGATTAATGAGGAAAAGGACATAAAAATGGACAGGCAGACAGAATAGCATGCGAAGAGAAAGCAGAAGAGAAAAACTTGCCTCAATTTGAGTATGCACAGAACCCCATTGAAGATTCATTCCATTGAAGAGATAACATACAATTCATTCCTTTATAAAAAAAACAGAACAATTAAATTCCATCAACTCAGGCAGGGGAATTAAGCCGGAATGAGCAGAGCTTCATTGGATTCACTTTGGCAGCTTTCTTCTTGGGTATGCAAATGTCGTTGAGTGGGAAGAGTGTGAAGTCAACAGTACCCTTCTCTGCCAAAACCCTGTCTAATTCTTGCAAGAAGTGCATGGAAAGGACGTTATATATTGTCCTCCCCCTCCTCAGATTGGACCTTTTCTTCCTTGGTATCTGATGTAGTGGGATGGAATCATGAGAAGAGCATGGAAAGGAAGTAAGCACTGTCCTCCCCCTCCTCAGACTTGTTCTTTTCTTCTTAGGTATGCATATGCCACCGAAGGTGTTGGCTTTTTTCAACTCCATCAATTCATTGCTTGTAACTTGAAGCAACATATCCAAGGCAGATGATGATGATGATGATGAAACCCTAACCCTATTCGTTATCTTGATCGTGGCTTTATCAGGAACCACATACCCATCAAACCCAAATCCCTGAAGTGGGTTACAGCGGCTTCTCACAGCCATGGCCATGGCCTTCTCAACAGCCTCTTCCTCCCAATTTTTGACAACAACTGCAACCTCAGAGAGAAGATCCAAAGAATTTGAATTCGACCCAAACTGAAAATCACTTTCCATTTTCCCCTTCATTCCCAGAATCAATTACAGAGAACACAACTCTTCAAATTCACAGAAACAAGTCAGAAAAGAAAGAAATCAATTTAGAAATCAATTGAAAATCGATCGATCAGAATGAGAGAGCGGGTGGGTGGATTTAGGGTTTCGCTGATTTTGAATTCGTTAGTGAGCTCAAACGCAACTGGGTTTCACTTTCACCGAGAAAGAGAATGAAGAAAGTGAGAGAGAGAATGAAGAAATTGCAAATTGTGAAAAGAGAGAAGTTTGGAAATCAAATAATATTCGACTAAAGATCAGCGCTATTCAAATTTCAAATTTTGAACATGATTTGGGCATGTAATGGGGGCTGAAGCAAGCAAATACAGAGATTTTCTGACAGTTGCGAGATCTTATGACGCGTTTGAGACGGTTTAACGCGGTTTCTTCAAGTCAAATGGTCAACTTGCTGGGCTCACAGGACCTGCTCTTCTTTCTTTCTTTTCCCTAATTTGCCCCAACTCCATTGTTTACGAGTTATTTGATAAATTGCCCCACGTCGGATATTTGAAGAAAAAACCTTTTCAAAATTGGCTTTTTATCACAAATGGTCCTTGAGATTTGCAAAATTATCACATTTCGTCCCTAACATATTTTTGTGACATTAATGATCCTTAACGTTATCATCCACACATCAAAATGGTTCCCACCATTAGCTTCCATCAAATTTTCTGTTAAATTGCTGATGTGGCACATGTATAGAGCCCGCACATCCAATGGTATAAAGGCACATGGCTGTAAATAAATAAATAAAAATTTAAAACTTAAAATCCCATAAAAAAAAAAACACTTATGAGACCATCTCCAACCAATGAGGGACTAAACCCAAATTTTCCCCCTCCAAAAAGTGACTATTTGGGTTTTGCCCGGACTCAAATTGTTTTTTCTCCCAACCCTCCGGACTCAAATTTTAAGTCCACAACTTTATTAAATTGTTTAAGAATTGTTTAAGTCTAATTTTTTTTTTTTTTTATGGATAACTTTTCTTTATTCAATCTTTTTAAATAACTTCATAATTAAATTTTTTGAACAATTTGACCTAAAAAAATTGAAATTCCACAAATATAATTTGACCTAGATTAATTTAAAATATTGTTTTGACCATTGAATTTTTTTTTTTTTTTTACCATTAAAATAGTTTAAATTTAATCTAGAACGTTGATTTAAGTTTCATTTAGAAAATTTTTTTAAAAAAAAAAAAAA